CCCCCCCCCCCCCCCGGTCGCCAACACGTCGACTTCCACCTGGACGTATTACACGCACCCCCTTTCCCGAGGCGGCAGATGCAGAATCCGCACACCACAAACTGACTTGCAGGTTCTCGTGCGACCTGCCGAGTCCTCCGAACAATCCTCTTGTCCTGCCTGCACTGCGCTCTGCGCTCTGCGCTCTGCGCTCCGCAGCGAGGCTCGCGAGGCGACCCAGGGAAATGGAAAACAGGACGCCCTTTTCTCACCTCCCAGCCCGGCATTGAAAGAGGCCACGACGAACTGCCCGCCCCTGGGCCATACGTGGTGCGCCAACACCGCGCCCCGGCATCGCGCGTGTACATGTATGTTCCTTGTACACGATACATGTACGTGCCAAAATCGCAGTAGCACCGAGTCCAGTCACGCACGATCCGACAGACAGACGGGCCCTCGCCAGACAACAAACAACATTATACGTTTGCTAGTGACTGACAAATAATGCCAAGTGTAAAAATGATAATAATAATAATGATACTAATAATAATCATAATAATAATAGTAATCGTAATAATAATCATAATAAATAAAAAAAGCTCTTCTAGATACGCCTGTCCCCCCCCTCTTTCCAAACCCCCCCAAATTGCCAGACTTGACTACACTTGACTACGCTTGACTCGACTCGTCTCGAACTCGTCCTAGAATCTTCCCGTAGACCGGAAACCAGGCCCTTCCCGTCGTCGTCTGCCGCCTCTCGCAGCACCGGACTAGGAACCCGAGTCCCAGTCCCAGTCCCAAGTCTGGCCCATGGACCATGAACGTGGACAAGGACCATCCCATCCATCCGACTTACCTGCTCGTTGCGACCTCATCACGCCGTGCTCGTCCCCGGCTGTCCCAGCTCGTCCCGCAAACCAACTTTACTCGAACCCCCCTTGGTTGCGGCCGGACATCCCCAGACACAGCAACCACATCGACGTGCGGGCAGGCAGGCAGGCAGGCAGGCAGGCACGGCAAGGCAAAGGCAAAGGCAGCATTGACCGAGGCCGTGGCCTCGTGCGAAATAACTGGCATACTACATCGTTCTCCCGTCCCGTCTTGCCCGGGGTGCTACCGCTACCTGGTTGCAGTAGATAAAAACCCAAGCGTCATGTCACTATCCGAAACTTTGCCCACGTTCGACCCCAGAAAACCAATGTACAGGCAAGGTATTCGCCCGAGCACACAATACATACATACACAGCTCCAGTCGCTTTCGAGGAAACTGTCCAAGCTTCAGACAAATCGTGACTCCAACACACAGCTCTCACACGGAACCTGTCCTGGGCATCTCCCAAAGCCGTCTCCCCTCCTTCTCTTCCCTTCTTTCTTTCCGTCAAAGGAAACAAGAAAGAAAAACAGCAAAGGAAGGGAGGGGAAAAAACAAACAAAAAAAAACAAGCCTAGCAAGACACTGCCAGGCTGGCGTTGCCGCCACGACTTTTTCTCCCGTCTTCTCGTAGCAAAGACCCTCCAAGAAGAAATCATCTCCAGTCACGTCGGCAGATGCTTTGATTCTCACTTTGCAGAAAACAGCTCATTGATATACCAAAGCCAACAACAAAAAACAAACCCTCTTCCAACAAGACATAACCTTGTTGATTCCCCAATCTCGGTGCGCGAACCTGATATTGTCTCTTCGTACCTCTTGCTCGGCCATTTGCGCGGGCTCCTGTCGTACCGCCCGCCCCGTGCCCATGTAGACATTACACCCCAGTGCTGCCTTGTCCTGGGATTTCAAAACAAGTTCCGAAAACGCCAGTAACCCCGGTTTCCCATGAGAATTTCTGCTCCTTTGCCGTCTTTAACCCTTGCCGTTCGCCGTGCTTTAAGCCAGAAAAAAAAAGAAAGACAAAAATAAGGAAACACCCCGGCACACCCTATTCCGATAATCCCATCGTACCATGCACAGACAGCCCAATTTTGAAAAGATTAAACCTCCTTTCCCAACGATGATCGGTCGTCATCGCCTTCACCGGTTCGGTCTTGGGCAGCAGCGTCATCAGCAGCTGCCGCCTCATTACTCTTGTTTTCACAACCCTTGACAAGTCGGTGCCTCTGCAAGTGAAACACAGTCAGTACGGCTCCCTGGCCGCGTTACACACGGTAACACACGGCAAGCTGCTTTTGGGGGGGGGGGGTTCCTGCTTACCTTGAGGGCGTCCTTGCGAGAGAAGCTCTTGCTGCAGAACGAGCATGGAAAGGGCTTGACAGCCAAGTGGATTCTCTTATGCCTCTTCAAGTCATGATTTCGGCTAAAGGACTGTGTGCACTGATCACACTTGAACGGACGCTCAGACTGTGGTTGAGGCTGAGAATGGTGGCCATACATCATCTGGTGAGTGTTGTAGCCAGCCGGCACGCCCATGGCAGGAATCATCGACAGCTGTGACCCGGGTTGGTGAATGTTGGACATGACCGGGCCGTTCATCGTCGCCAGGGGTTGATAGGAGCCATACGGTCGGTACGGCGGCGCCATGGCTGAGTGGCCTAGGCCTCGAGACCCGGGGCTGGTGCCCGTTGGAGATGACTGCTGAGGCCCGGCGTACGATGAGAAGCTCGGCTGCTGCGGCGTGGACGAGGCAGGGTAGTAGCTCTGGTTGTTGGGTGCTCTCGAGTGCGCATAAGGGTCTACGGGAGCTGGCGCGCTCCCAGCCGCATGAGGCTGAGTTGAGTTCAACATGGCGCCCTGTGGAGGCGCCTGGCCAGACAAGTGATGGCTGTCCTGACCACCGTTTCCGCCTCCTCCAGAAATCGATGTCTGAAATGGCTGATGGACGTTGTTGAAGGGTGGCGGTGGAAGGCCTTCGCCACCTGTGGCAGGAGACTGTGAGCTGCGCGGGTTCCCAAAACCCATGCTGGGCGGCTGGCCGTAGATGGACGAGCGATGGCCGCTGTAGGATTGATCTGGGGACGTACCGCCGACGCTGTAGTTCGGGTTGCCTGGCGTGGGCCACGTGCCGTGGACGTTGGCGCTGTACGTGTACTGCATGTTTCCGTGCGCTTGAGAGCCTTGTGAGCTGACGGTATTCACGCTAGACAAGCCTGGACTGAGACCGTCGCTAGCTCCTGGAGACGAGGTCAGAGGGCTGGACGGGAAAAGACCAAACGGGGACGAGGGGCGGTGGGTGAACAGAGCCATACTGGGAACTTCATTTGGTGGTGGCAGAGAAAATGGTGGCAATGAGCCTGCCGCTGAGCGTCGTGATGAAAAACTAGACGAGACTTCCATTGTAGATTGCTTGTACCAGCGGCTGCGTCCGTGGTAGGTTCGAAGGGCGTGCGCAAAGGCGAGGCGACGGACGAGTGTGTCGAGTAGAGTCACCTGTTTTCCCCCCCAAATTTCCAGACTCTTGTTGGATGATGTTTGCGTCGGCGAATTCTGTCACCAACTACGGCACCAAGAGCTGGGAGAGGTTCGCAAGCTGGGTGTGGCCAAGAATCGACAAGACTTGCAGGTCCGGCGGATGATACGTCGAAGAAGAAACAAAGACAAGTTCTTGGCAGGACCAAGGATGAGTATTAGGGTGCAGATACAAAATCGATATCGGAGCTGAAGCGCCGCTGACGGGAGATGGGAATCCTCGAAGGCGGACCTCAAATACTATATGCCTGCGGGAAAACCCACCAACAGTCGAAAGATGCGAAGACTTCTTGGTTTGGGGTTATAAATTCGGGTTTGAAAGAGTGCCACTAACTCTCAGGCTGTAGCGAGAATATGGTGGGAGAGATGGACTAAGTTGACAAGAAAGTCGGCGACTACCTTAGTTTGGCGCCTGTCGCAGAAGTTTAAAATCAAGGTTGCAGGCTGCTCGCAGGTCTATCACCTGTCGTCGTCTAGATAGGCGTAGGAGTGTTTTGAAGCAGGTATTCCTGCGATGGGAAGGAGACGCCGATAGCGATAAACTTGTAAAGCTCGTCAAGCGAGTGCGACTAGGCAAAGCCAGACAGGTCGGGACTCGGGAGAGGCAATACCAACAAGAAGCGGGATCCGTTCGCAGTATTCGCAGCAAGTGGATGCAAAGTCAAACTGAGGCTGAAGCTCGTGGGAGCCAGGAGCAACCAAGTATGAAAAGAGATGGTACAGGGCTGGCCGGGACTGAAGAGTAAGAGGGAGCCGAGACGACTTGAACTGTCCGGGAACGGCCAGACTCGAGTATCGTACAGCCAGGCGGAGGGGCCGGCCCAGGTTGACGGGAGTGGGACTTGGAGGCGTGGATGCTTGTCTTGGTATGCAGAGAAAAAAAACCGACGGCCCAAGTCTGGAGCTGGAGCTGGGCAACGACTGGGTCAGTCGATTTTGACTTGGCCAAGGTCTATTTTGCTGGCGAGACGGACCGTAACAAAAGAAGGACGGCTTCCAGTTGACCAGCTGCGAAGGCGAGTCGAGTCGTCCAAGCCGAACTCAAAAAGAGGTCCAAAATCCACTTGGCGGATCCGTCTGGGCCTCTGGCCGCGAGGTCTGCTCGGGTGGGAGTTGCGTGGTGGGCGTGGCGGGCGTGGCGGGCGTGGTGTGCGGGTGAGGAGAGAGAGGGAGAGAGAGCGCGAAGAGAGTGAGAGTGAGGGTGAGTGAGTGAGGGTGGGGTGCACTGGGTGCAGGCGCGATGAGACACCCACGAGCAAAGTCGAGATGGACCGTCGAAAAAGTCCCCCAGTTCGAAATCAAGAGGTCAACAGGTCAAGAACGAGAGGGGATGACGGCTGAGAATCCTGCCAACGCCCGTCGGGTCTTGGTTGCCTTTGACGTAATGTCAGATTGTCAACGATAAAGTCAAGCCCTGCCTTCCTGCCTGCCTGCCTGCCTGCCTGCCTGCCTCGTCGGTCTGGGCCACGGCAAGTTGGATGTCCGGCTGAAGTAGAGGTATGAGTCGACAATTAGTCTTCTCAGTACGCTGCACCGGTACTGTCGACTCTTTCGCTCCAAGTCCAAAGACTTTCTGTCGTCGCTTGCTGCAGCCCTTGAGTCGAGAATTATCGTCCGTCCTACTGGGCCGAACGATGCTCTGAGGAGAAGAACCGTGTCCTCGACCGGATGTGGGATGCTGGGCCTTTTTTTTTTTTTAAGGTTTTGACTCGCCCTTGGGAAGGTGTCTAGATGCGCACAGCGTTTCGAGTCGAAGTCTGTCCCGTGCCTCTGCCTTGAATCAGATCAGATACAAAAGGAAAACGAAACGGAGGCAGGCATCGAGTGTGGAATATCCAGAAAATGAAATGTTTGAATTTGCGGGTGTCACACACAATGTATATATCTTTGCCCACGCTCTTGAGCTGAACGGATGGTGCATGTACTCCATACTTATCTCACCCTTGTTCATCCCTCCTCTCTTCGTCCCTTTGCCAGCCCCTGCTCCGGAGGCCGTGTGGTACACACGACATTCTCTCGTAGACTGACTGACTGATCGGACTGACGACGACAGCAGCGTCCAGCAACAAGAAGACGGTCCCGGGGGGTGTGTCGTTTGGGCGCTAGCGTCTTTGACAGGACATGGGTTGCAGCGGGATGCCAAAGTACAAGCTACAGGCCCCCAGGTCGTTCTCCTAATTGTCCAGAACGTCAAGCAACCACCAGAGGGACTACTGATGCTAGCTCCGAAGGGCTGAACAGAGCGACCCAGAGCCGGACAGCCCGGGGTGTGCGACAGAGTGGACTGTCCTTAGAAGAAGGGGGGTGGAGGCAAGGTCTGGGCCTGAGGGACCTGAGGGACCTGAGAGACCTGAGAGACCTCGCAAACCTTGACGGTGGATCTCATGCCGTGGTGTGTGAGCGCGCAGTCAGGTATTGACATGTACTCCCTGCCATACCGTTGACATCCATGCCCCAGTTTGTACGCTGAGCACTCGCTCCGTAGAGTCAAAGTTGAGCCTGGACAGCGTGCCAGTTGCTGTCGTCAACCTTCTTGTCTGCGCGTCTGCGTCTGCGTCTGCGTCTGCATCGGTGTCTGCATCGGTGTCTGCCTGAGCTGGGATCAGAATCAATACGAACCGAGGAATTCTCAACTGCTTTACACGTTGGGTGCCGAGTAGTTAGTACTCACCTCAATCCCAGAATACAATGCTACACATCTTCTCCCCCCCCCCCCCTCACTTGAGTTTAACCCATATTTTGACAAGGCCTGCGGAGTCTACCCAATGTTCAACCTTTCCACCCACCTCAGTAGATCAATCAATCGTACGTGGTCGTCAAACGTCGCCGACTAAGAGCTTTGGCCATAGAGATGCTACCCAGACAGCGTGCGGGCTCCCCAGCACAACGAGGCCAGTGGATCACGGCAGGGGTGGTGCTATTCCTGGGCTGGCCTCCTCATCTCTGTGACCCTCTAGTGACTAGTTGTTCCGTAGCCTTTTGTGCTGTTTGTATGGCATCAACATCCTGGAATGAGGGACGAGGGCGGCAAGGTTGAGCGGTACTCCGCAGCAAGCAACTCGTTGAGCGACATTGGATACAAATCCGCAATCAAAGTCGCCTCCCTACGCCTCAGGGCCAGTAAGAGAAGACGCTGTACAATATGTAAGAGAAATGCAGGCAAAATTGAGCTCAAGGTGGAGAGGAATGTTTGTCGCGCCATGCCCCTGCCCTGCCGCACATTGCTCCAAAACTGCACCTCACCTGCTCCATACGCACTCGTAGTATTCATCCGACCTGTAGGCTGTGGCCCATGCCATCCATCTGACGCATCGCCTCGTTGATGACCCCGTGCCGTGACAGATATCTGCCTTCGCTTTCCCGAGAACGCGCACAAAAGCAGGGTCCGTGATGAATCCATGCCATTTCGATTTGCTTTGTCTTGGACTGAATCTCTCTGCCGTCTGCTCCGTACCAGGGGTCAGGGCGGGCTAGCTGAAGCATACCATGATGACTTTGGGGCCATCCGTAGGTACTAGGCTGCATCGTACGTAATTGCTGCTTCAGTGGGAGACGAGCTCGAGCTCGAGCTCGAGCTCGTCGATATATGCCAAGTCCCTGCTTTTCCGTGTTGCTCGCGCCGTCATTCGGTCAACCACTTCATCCCGGGCGGTGACAAAGCTCCGTCACCCCTACCAAACCGCGTTGCCTGTGGAACAGTCATCAAGCCGGGTCCCTCGTCCTGAATTTGACGTCTCCTCCAACTACAGCAAGTTCAGACACCTGCAGTCGTCACTCAGTCGGTGCTGATCCCAGAAGCCCCTAAATCTTTTTGCACTCCTCGTGGGCCAGGGCGATGCCTGGAGAGTGTCCCGGGTTGATATGCAATGCAACACTCGATCTACTATTGCATAGTCCGGACAATGAGCGCGACTTAGCGGTAGTGCGTGTGTGCCAGAGACCAAGCTAGCTAGTCGGATTTTTTGGGCTCAACGAGCCGCCTTTAATGCTGACGGGCAACTGTATCCTCGTCCCTCTGGACAAAACAAGTCTCGCTCAATACAAGACATCAAGCCGTTGAAAGTTCAACAGTAAATCCCTGGAGATGCGAGCGTACTCTCGGCCACGAAGTAGTATTCAGCTCGTTCGCATACTCTCTGTAAGGGCACCGCACGCGGCACCACTTAAAATGGAAGGATGCAAAATGTTCCCGCGCGTAACACCACCGCCCACAGTAAGGTTGCCCATGGTTGGGGAGGTACGTGGAGAGAATCGAAATGACTCAAAGCGTTCACACAAAAAGGACAGAAAATGAGCCACAAAGAAAAGATGGCATGCCGAGTTTAACTGCGGGGTGGCTGACGAGGAAACAAAACAAGACCAGGCCGTCTCGCGCGGAGCAATCCTGCACAGTAACAGTCCAGAGAATTAATATGTTCCCTGTGATCTCAACTGAATGAACGCCCGCACAGAGTATGGCCAAATGCTTGAGTCCGTGCTTATGCAGAAATAACCATTCGGGCGTTATATCCGTTATTGCTGGCAAAGGCAGCAGATGGCGAAAATGTCGCCTGTGGCCGAGCCCTTATCTCCTTGGAGAACGGTATGTCCGGTACGAAGCGCATGGAAATTTTCGGCGTATTCTAGCTGTTATATTGTAGCTGTTCAGTTCATTGCACTGAAGTCTACCAATGTCTTTGGGCTGCGTATCCAGATTATGTGTAAGGGCAGTCCTCCGCAGGGGAAAGGGCTCCTGACCGAGGGAGAGAAGGTTCCGCGGACTTGTTGTACGCTGAGCCTTGGATAGTGGTTACACTGAATCTTTTTGACGCTGACTTTGCCAAGGTGCAACGGTAATCTAATCTGACAATCTGGCTCGACTCAGCCCATAGCGATGCCACAGTGCTTTCCAATCTGGCACGCTTCCTTTCCAAATATCCTAAGCTTCAAAGGATCAGCTGGCGGTTCTTGCGATTCATCCTCTCCCTGAACACGTCCGCTGGTGACCGGCGACCGCATTGTCCCTTGTGGATGGGGTTGAGTACATATGAAAAGATGTCGAGAGACCTTGTTTGGTCGTCAACCAACAAGAGACTTGGTGAATGGGCAAGAATCACTTGGCATTGTCGTGTAGCCCCTCGACCGTATCTGTTTTGACAATGAACCGCAGACTCGTGGATATCAAAATCGTCCGTTCTCAAAACATATTCGTGTTGTGGCTCCACTCACACACCTTGAGTGATACCCTTGCCATGTAGCCTTGATGCAGGAAAGATAGATGAGCGGCTACCCCTCAACCCCCAAGACAGTATGGAGCAGTGCTTGTCGCGGTGGATCCCAGCTTGGGGTGCGTCTCTTAAACAGAGACTTGGTGGAGAAGACACATGTATGTATGACTTTTATTAGTCCCGGTCCCGACCACACAGGACGCCCAGTAATCTAGCGTCTTCCGCTAGTAGAGTATTGTGGTCCTCAGCACCCTCCCAGGGACGTTGTCTCCAGGTCGCCACTCACCACGCAGACACCACGAGGACTGACCCACGCAGCTTGTGCTTTGGAAAAGAACTGGTGAAAGAAGATGTACACTATTCGCACATGAAGCACATTTGATGAAAGGCGCAGGTGGTGTGTACGAGGATCATAGGCCGTCCAATGAACGCAGACGTGATAACATGGACCTCTTGTTAAAAATTTTTTGCGTATTATGTATTATTATTCAGTTGCTGAATCAAGACGTGACGTGACCCCGGATTCTGCTTTCATTGGTAGTGATGAAAATTGTCTTGGCAGCAGAAACAGCAACAATGGAATTCGCAAAGTCGGTTGGCACAACATTTCCCACCGTAAGACAATCGGGAATGACTGCTACTAGGTGCTGGACAGATGTCCCTTGAACTTGTCGACCATTGTCTCGAATTTTGGTCTGGTACTCGGAGTTGCGACCAGGATGTATCGTGATACCACCAAGCCTATAAGCTGACCCTTAGGCTGGGCCCATTCTCTCATCCATGGGAATTCCCGCAAGAAAAGGCATTGCAGGCCTTTGTGTTTGAGCTGGCCTCGCCAATTACGGGTACAGTGAGAACTGTTCCATCATTACGGAGTATTTGTTTCCTGATCCGATGGCCAAAGTCGCAGAGTAATATACGGGGGATCATGCCTCTGAAGTCTGCCTAGTCTGGATCTCAAAAACTGTTAGGAGCGGTCTCCAACTTGGCAAATTCCGTCAGCGACATGCCAGTGCTGTAGGATCCAGACCATCACAGACCGGGTTCAAAAAGGTAAGATCAGCAGCCGAGGAAGGGGAGCAGAAGCACACCAAATCAACAGTGAGCATTTTGTTTGGCACAAAACGACAACTCCACGGCCTTGCTGCTCTAAGCTTTTCCCATTGACAAGCAAAAGCTTGCCGCGCCAGAAGGTGCAACGCCGTCCCCACAGAGTAGATCGATGTGGCCACAAGCCCCTTAGCAAGCCACCTGAGGTGAGTGTAGTTTTCGAGGTCGATTGAAGCGACATGGCTAGAAACACGCGCGCGCGCGCGCGCCACCACAAGTGATCTTATTTTCCGCCTAGTGAGCCTGTTCACAATGAGGTACGCTCCAGTGCCGCCTCGGGAGAGGCGCTAGTTGAATCGGAAGGAAGGGTAGCGACAAGCCGCACATCCTCTTTGGCCAAAGGTCATCGGTGTGATGTTGATCCTAGAGGACAAGGGTAGACGTGGCCTGTCTATGCTTTTTGTCCCGTATTATTGAGGTATGGAAAGAAAGGACGGTTACCAGAGAGAGGACATTCCAGCTCTGAAGAGCAGACGATGGTCTGCTTTGACGTTAGGCATAAGAAACATGTCCAGGGTAGACGTAACTCCGTGGGCTTGTCAGACGAGTGAGCATTTATTAGGCGGCGTGTGGTCAACCTGTTGAGCGTCAACGACTGAAGGTGCACAGAGGATGGATGGACTGATGAAACATGTCGAGGTCCCCTAGTACCGCGTCGCTGAAATTGCGGCTTACACAATAGGGCGTGGCAGACCTACTACTACACACTGTAGCAGTGTCATTGTTGTATTGATTATTGATGTGTGCAGGTCTGAACGGTCCTTGGTGGCGTAAACTCAAAAGATACTGGAGGGGGTGAAAAAAAAAACTGATGCTTATTAGCGAACTATTAAGCCGGCCATTTGGGGAACTCGGTCAGGTGGAGACGGTCATATGGTTCGTCAGGAAATATCCAAGTAGTATCGAGGTCTCGTCGTCGTTTGATCCGAGGTGGCATTATCCTCTCGAATCGCTAAGATTTGCTGGGGCGCAGCGTCAAGGCCGAAATTTTTTCACGTGTTTGTTGACGTTCTTTGTTCTGTTTTGTTTCTTCTCCGTCTTGTTTGTGAAACGCATAGACTACTGCGCTGATAATTATGGAAACAGCCTGACCGACCAGCCGGTAAAGTGAATTGCCAGCCCTTGCACGGTTGTGTTGGGGCTTCGGGAGACCTGCCGCCACGAGCAAAGCCAAGCAACTGACAGACCACGATGGCGCCAAGTACGATCGGGGGCCATTGCATCAAAGGCATGCTTCAGCATAATGGGCAAGCAAGCCACAAAGATCGCTCGTCCCCGAATAACGGGGGGACCTGCCGATGGGCTGGGGACGACAGCGCCAGATAAACCAGGGTATCCTGCGCGAAATTAGCAAACAGACGCCTCCAGGGAGTCGGTCATTGTGCTCAATACCAGAAGCAATTGGCTTCCGGGGCCAGCTGACAGCTCACCATGGCAGCAACGTCGTTGGATGTTAAACCTGGAGCAGGAACATGTCGTCGCAATGTGCAGGACAGGAATGGAGCTGCAGGTGGTTCCAATGATGATGCATTGGGCGCAAGCGGTTGTCGATCAAGCCAGACCGGCAACGCTTCGATAATTCGCACTAAATGTCCGAGGGTTCAAGCATCCGAGTCGAGAACATACTTGAGCAGGGAGAACGGTGAGCGAGGGCTAGAGCCTAGGTGCCCAGATGAGGCGCAATCGGCACAGTACGGAATAACTCCGTACTTGACAAACAGCAGCAAAGAAAGATTCAGCATTTTGAGCAGGAGCACAGGAGCGCAGCATGGACAGAGCGCGCGGTGGGGCAGCGGAAGAACAGGCACCGCGTCACACGTTGAAGGGCACGGAGTACCCACGGGTACATGCGTCTGCTCAAGTGCCCAGGCGGTCAGTGGGAGCAGCTCTCGCCAAGTAAACAAGTACTCACCCAGCTCTTGTCCTTGTGGCTCCGTGTTAGTGCGACGCTTCTAATGTGGAATTGCAGTACGGAGTACGGAGTAACACTGGGGCATCGAGGCACCAGACTCGAGGAAAGGCCGAATTCCGCATCTGGGAGCCGTTGGCGACTTGGCGAGCTGGAGCTTGTCGGGATGCGGGACGCTGGGCTTGACTGATCAGTGACGCTCATAGTTGCATTGATTGGTGGTGACAGGGCCCAGCCCCGAGTCGGTCAGTGTGCAGGGCCGTGATTGAAAGCATTTGGGCAACCAAGGACCTCGCGTTCAAAGGACTATCTAAGTATGTACCCCGTACTCCTTACTCGGTTGAGAAAGCGCGGGGACACTGGATGGAAAAAACTTAGAAGCAGCTCGAGGCCCGGCCTTGCTGCGGCTGAGCAGACGATGAGCAGACAAGTTGACCGATTGGGAAGCTCGACATTGGCCATTCGAAGTCTAAAACCGCCCCACTTGTATCTTGCAGACCTCAAAGCTTGGCTTCAATCTCCGCCCACCTCTCAAGTGCACAGACGGGAGCCACTCGCCAACCTTGGGGCCATCTGCCATTGTGCTTGTGCCAGCCGGACAGTCCTTTCGCCTGGGTCCCTGTGCTGACTTGAGACCGCGCGACCCAGGCGCGACGTATGTGCGTCTTGAGTTGGAACATGTGTTTGCGAGTGCCAGTATTTTTCTTTTTGTCTTTTTCTTTAGTGCAATTTTTTGCGTAACCCCTAGCCGTCCTGACGGAATATGCCGCAGCAGCTACGCGGACCCTATGCTGATCCTACGCTGCTGGCCTTACTGCCAAGCCATGACTTCCAGCATGTCGGAAAGTGACGAGTTTGAGCAGGTGCATCACGACCGCAGAACCGCACTAGCAGCAGCAGCAGCCCGAATCGAGGCAAGCGCGGCCAGGCGAGAACCGCGCTCGCCAATTTCAAGGCATGCGCGTGCAATCTGCCCAAGGTACTCCGTACGGAGTACGTGGTACCTCGAGGTACGCAAGGTAACTACTAGGTACCTGCCAAGTAGCTAGCTGCCTACTCCGTACCTAGGTAGATACTTGGGTGGGTGGCCACGGCAAGCGAGACCCGACAATCACGGCGAAGCGCGTGCCCCTTCAACATCCAGCTGCTCCCAAGACTCAAAGACTCGTCGATGCCGGAACATCTGACCGCACCCTTGCCACCGCTCTTGGGTGCTCATGATGATGACGGCGCCGTCAACGCCAGCCTACCAACTACATCCAGTCCTCAAGGGCCCCAACAGCAGCAGCAGGCTTCGGGATTGCGCTTGCTTTCTCCCTTCTTGGGCAAGTCGCTGACGGTTGGTTTAGCCCCCATGACGATTCCTTCCTGGGACTCGCACCTCGCGCCGATTTGTAGCAAACTCGTCACCAAAGCACAAGGATTGCAGAATACCATGTACCTCCAAGCGTGGTCAGCACTGGTACGTACCAAAAAAGTTGGCGATCCGTCATGTCGCATTGTGATCCATATGAGTTTGGACGGCTGAAGTGCCCCTCCCACTGCTCCGGGCTCTGGGACAAGTCTGCAGAAGAAAAAGCAAACAGACAATTTTGGAACGACCCCTGCGATAAAGCTCCTATCATACTAGATCTGCGTGGCCACTACGTTTAACGTGAGTCTATCCAGCCTGGCGCTGGTGGCCATTGTATGCTAATCCCGGGGAGGAGGAGGAGGAGGAGGAGGCAACATACCACGGAGTACTAGTGGCATCGTCGCCGTCAACTGCCTTGCCTCCATCGGGCTCGACAGGCGCGGGAGTTGGACGACACTTGGTAGAAGCCAGCCTTTCCTGCTCGGCACGCAAGTCGTTGGCTTGCAGAGACCAACTGTTGCAATGTTGGACGCTCCGTACACGATGCCAGGCTCATTTCCATCTTTCTGCGCTCCCGGGTTCAGTATTTTGCTGCACGTTGATAATGTATCAAGTTGACCTCGCCTCAACCCCCCGCAACCCTGCCTGGACCGACAAGGCGCCGGCTTTCGTCCGCGGTACCCAACAGAGTGGTCAGACAAGGGTGAGGGAGAGAGCTTGTCGCAAGTCGCCTCGAATGTCCGGAGGATGCACGGAGAAGTATGAGCAGTGGGACAGGGACAGTACGGAGTAGGCAGTACAGCCGCGCCTTTTTTCCAAGCTGGCAAGCAAGCCCACCAAGTCCCGCCCCCGATGCGCGGCTGAAATGGAGTCCGGGACAACTGACCAACCAACCTCACCAAGGCCCAAGAAGAGAAGAGCGCTTCCTTGGACACGGTCTATCCTTGCCGCCAAGCTTAGCGCGAGTAGGACAGACGATTCAGCAGAGGTCGCTGAATGGCACCCGTCGTGGGACTTGTCGCAGAGCAGAGTGCGGACTACTCCTACTCCGCAGCGGTGGCACCGTCGTGGTATCCGCGTTTGCTCCTCTGCCCCATCGTTCAAGTCGCTGAACAGGCAACAGGCGCAATCAACGGGAGCGAATGAGAAGGACGAGCTGCCATGCCGTTCCCTCGGGACCAGCTTGTGCGCTGTGCTTGCATCTCTAGCGCGCGTGCGCGTGCTCTACCAGGACTCCACCAGGACGCCCTCCCTGCCAGGCTTGTTTGTCTTCAAGTGCGCCAGGTAAGGTCTTTAAAAGAAAGGCATGTGAGCTACGTGCTCCGTGCTATGGAGCAAGGGCAGTGCCCCATACCCCCCAGTCTGGCAGCCATGCAGTGCAACGTCGGGCAAGAAAGCCAAGATGCAAGATGGTGGCCCTCCAACTCCAACCCTCCTCACGGACCGCCCACCCCATCAACTACGTATCAAACTCATCTCATGTCAGCTTGGTCCGTCTTCGTCTTCGTCGTCTTCGTCTTAGCCCCGCCCGCGCTCCACCGGCTACGGCGCCGCATCAAGCTGCGACTTGGGGAAAGCTCCCGTGTGATGATGAGAGAGCTTCCACGTTGAGATTTGCCCGTCTTTGGGGCTTCTGGCGCTCATGGCTAATCAATGTACTACAGGGTTTTGCAGCCCCGAAGAAGAAGAAGAAGAAAAAAAGTCAAAAAGGAGCCAAAAAAAAAAAAAGACAAAACATGGGGTTGTGTCTGGGGTGTCCTTTTTGCGATGACACTGCTCGGTACGGAGTAGTAGTATCCTGCTCCATACAAGTTCAACGCACATGTCTCCACGAGTTAGCCCCGAATTATATGCTACGTACGGAGCACGTACAGTCAGTGTCATCCAGACATGTCGCGTGCACAACGGGCGCCGCCTTGGAACTAACAACCCAGGTTCACTCGCGGGACCGACAAGCACGTGGAGTAGCGTCTTGGCTTTTAGAGACAAAAGATGAAAATGGTTTGCATGGTGCATCTTTGTCCAGTGCCAAGGTGCCAGCGAAGTCTCTTACGGGGATGCTGGCCAATGAGACGCGATACATAACACGTAATAAGCAAGCACGCACTTACCCACCAACTTATTGTCAGAGTGCATACGGCGTATGATGTATGTTACCGACTATACTCTTCTCAGGACCCTGACAAGCAGCATTTTCGGGCAAAATCAATCGAGACGCATAACAGGGATACTCGGGAATGCATACAAGAGCGGAGGGATTCGGTCTCAAGCTGGAAATGAGACCCCGGGCAGTCCTAGGAGGATTCATCGGTCTCCGAACGCGTTCCGTCCGTGCCAGGGCGTAACATGACGCACATGGTAGATGAGGTAGATGCAGAGTACCAAGTACTATCGAATCGAGAAGCTCATTTTCACAGTCTGGGTCCCGACTCCGAGTAGCCATGAGACAGAGACAGTTGCGAACATTTTGTGGACCAATGGAGATTCCAAACGCAGAGGGAAAAACGGTCATGGCCTCCCTCCGGACATGCCCAGAAGTGGTGTTGAACGCTGACGTCGCAGCACAGCATGTCTGCCTGGTCATGGACTCGCGTGCACTGCACCTCTCGAGCACGAGATGACGCTGCTACGTATCAGTTTGTAGCCCCGGTGTCAAGATGCGTGTATGGATAGCATTCCTAGCATGTACATCAACCACTCACTCGTAGCCGCAATATCAAGCGGCCCTCGGAAAAGAAAGGTTGAATTCTACTCAGCACACAACCTTCTTCGACGTTTATTACAGCCTCACAGTCCAACCACGTCGCCCAGCCACGAGTCCACGACCAGTCGTCCGCACGCAGTCCTTTCTGACGTTCGTCTTGACTCTTGAAAGTTGAGGGTGCATTTAGCCCCCCCCCCCCTTTCGGCGCTCGCCCTGTGTCTGGCAACGGGACAGCCACTTCCCAGCAGACTGGTTAGGGGGCGTCGCGTGGGAAACCATGTAAGGTCCTGGTGAGTCCCGACTCCCCGAGGTGAATGGCCATTTGATCCGTCACGACACCCACCCGCACACGCACGCACGCACACGCAAACACACGCAAACACACACACACCTCTCCGGACGATGGATGGCCCAGACCGGCTTTGATCTCATTCCTTCATCTGCGACTAGCGGCCTGCAGTGCCGTTGCGCTGGCTGGGACGTGGCTGACAGCTTGCAATACGCGCCAGAGCCACGCGAGATGCCGGACCTGCAAGCGCCACAAGCCAAGGACGGACAGCTTCTTGGGGATCAGGCCATGCCATGCCATGCCATGCCATGCCAACGCCATCCAGACGTGCGGTATTGCAGTCGTCTCCAAGACTACCGCAAGCACCCCGACCAGTCCTTGCTCCCGCATGTAACAGTGAATCTCCGGCTCCCTCAGCCACCACCGTCGTGCTCGCCTTGGCCCTTGGCCCTTGGCCGCGAGCATCGCCAGCAGCCTCAAACGAGGAGGCGGCGGGAACGCCGTCGAGGCCATCCGTCCGCGGCCCACGGCCCACGGCTCACGGCTCCCGGAAACATGACCCTCGGGAGGGTAATTTCACGCTGGCTCGTATAACTCCTTCGCCTTCATTTCGAAAAAAGGCTCCAGGGACGGCGAGGCCTTCCAAATGCCCCATCCGCGGCCACGTATTGATTTTGTTACGTGCCACTACGTACTTCTTGCCGCCTTCGCGAGTCGTCCGTCTTACCCGTCGACTTTGTCTCGTCCCAGCCTATCTAGTGACTGCGCGCTAGTTAGTATACGTCGGCTCGAGAACAGGGGTGTTGGGGGGGCGTGTGCGAGGGGGAAAGGGAGCCAAGGGACGGCGACGACCAACAGCAGACGGCCGCGAGAGCAGCATAATTAAGCCGGATTCACCGTCGGCAGGAGCAGCGAGCAGTATCTTGACGATCTCTCTTTCTTTTTTTATTGTTATTTCTGTGCTGTTTCCTCCATTCCCGTTCCCCTGCCTTGGTCGACGTTGCCGTGAGTCCGTGACGGGTGCTTGCTCGGACAGCTGTGTGATTTCATCTCTGCTTGCCCCCCCGGTCGTGTTGATCTTGCCGGGCTGTCCTATTTCCTGTCCCCTCTCTCCCTGCGTTTTGATATCTCCCTCACGAATGCCACCCGGAAAATTATGCCGTCCAGGTGGCTCTCGCCAGATTTCCTCTTTGGTCCCGCCTCATCCGCGAGACAAGCAGCGAGGACACGCCCCAGCACCACAGATCTGGAGGGGAAAAGTCAAAAAGGGAAGGGGGGGGGAGGCCATCAGAATGTGTCAGACATAGCGTAGGGCTATGGGGCGCCGAGTACACACCTACCGCGTGGAAGGGTCTCGTGGTCCCCTAACTTCTTGGCCACAGGTCCAGGCCCAACGGTCAACGGTCGGTTGCAGGCGTTCTTTAGCACTCGAGTTGTCTCCTGCGTTGTTTCGAAGCCGGCGGCTAGGCGACTGTCTGGGCCGCAGCCCAGCGGGCGAGGCGTGCGACGGCGCCGCAGCCACCAGACCTGTCAGTCGGTCCTGGCATGGAGTGGGTTGTTTGTTGTTGTCTGTTGTTGGTGTCGACGTTGATGTTGACGGGCAACACATGGGACCAGGCCGGTACGGAGTACCTCGTGGTACAAGACTGGGTATGGAGTGCGAGACCCCGGAATCCGTCGAGGCAACCCTTACTCGGCACAATACGGGACAGACGGCGAGCAGTACGTACGTACGCGTGGACGGAGTACGGATGCGCTTTTTGCAGCCACCGACCGGGCTCGAGAAGGGAGGGGGTGCGGCAAGCCGACGCAGGGTCTCGATAGCGCCTGGTCGACACGTCTCGCGTGCTGTGTGCCGTGGTTGGTTGGTGGCGCACCCTGGGCGGCATGGTTCAATGAAATCAGATGGAGGCTGTCGCCAGCTCGCAGAGCCTGTTGCCATTGCCATTGCCGTGGCCGTTGCCCGTCTGGCGGTTCCATTCTTGGGTCTGCGAGGGTGTGCAAAGGGCGCTCTGGTGCTTCATTCACTTGCACAGGACAGTCATCTCGATTGCGCGGCGGAAGTAGTAGTCGGCGGCTACGTGTCGAGGCCAACCAATGAATGGGGACAGGAGGAGGAGGAGGAGGAGGAGAAGGGCGAGGCACCAGAAGGGGGAAACAAAACCCGAGCAGTAGGTAGCAGTGGGCATACGGTAATCCCGTTCCAGACTCTAGACTCCAGAGCATCGTTGAAGTTGCCAAAAAGTCAACCCGTTCGCCTCCGTTCGCGGCCACCTGGGCCAT